TGCTTATTGGCTATTGGTATATCTTCTTCGTGGAGTATCTGTTCAAATCTTTGTCCATTTAAACATTTGGATTGTTTGCCTTCTAGTTACTGAGTTATAGGAGCTCTTTGTATACTCTGGCTATAAGTCCTTTGTCAGATATACTTTATAGATAAAAATTCTCCTAGTCTGTGGTTTGAGTAGAGGTTTTGATAGTGATGAAGTGTTTTTCTTTTATGGTTATTGCATTCTGTTTCTTAAGAATTTGTTGCTGACTTCCAAGTTGCAAAGCTTCTAAAAGCTTTGGTTAGCTTTTACATTTAGGTCTATGGTCCATCTTGAATAATTTTAGTGTCTCATGTGAGGTAGGGGCTGATTGTTGTTACATGGGCTACTTGGGTTAACTCTACAGCCCTAGTTGCTAAGTTTGGTCTTGCAGTTTGTGAACTCTGTGGTGGTTCTTTGGCCAATGGTGAGAGAATCTCTTTTGCTTGGGAACTCTAAAGGAGAGAGGAAATCTTTGAGTATAAAGGACTCTGGTGGTTAAGTTTGTGTGTCAACTTGCCTGGGCCTGGTTGAGTGGCTGGGCAGCTGGATGTAGTTATTCCCCATGGTGAGATTAGTAATTAATTCCTTGGTGGAATCTATTGGAGCAACTGAGTAGCTGCTTTGGGTATGTGGTCTGCTTCCCGTATATAAGAAACAGCTTTGGGAATGGTCTCTAGCTTATAGCACACTTGAACCCTGCATGTAGCTGTGTCGTTGCTCAGCAGCCTTCCATACTCAGCTGACCTTGGGACTTTCAGTGGACTTGAATGAATGGCCACTGTGTGGTTTGGTAACATTGGGACTGTGCCATTTTATTTGTTGACCTTGGGCTTGTTAGCCTTAGAAGCCAGTAGCTGCCTGACTGAAGAGATGCCTCTAGCTTCAGTGGGCCGGGAGCAAGAGGCAGAGCTGAAGCCCAAGGTCAAGGGGCTTTTACCCAGCCCCTAGAACCTGGCATTTTGAACTCGAACTTGTAGCCTTCCAAACTGTAAGAGAATAAACGCCTGTTTAAGGCCATCCCATTTGTGGTATATTCTTGTCGGAGCAGCACTAGGTAACCAGAACAAGGACTCAGCATGTTTTCCTTGAAATATGCATTTTAAAAATGTCACTGAAGGACTTGATAGTTTTGGTTGACCAACCAGTCAGAACTTTGGAATAGACCCATGTAGTCTCTTTCCCTTCCCAGTCATTTAAGTAGAAGATAAGGGTACAGTTAGGTTCTCATGCCCAGTCCTCTCTCAGAATGCCAAGGGAGGAGGCAGTCTTTCTTCTTATAGGCAGGAATAGTTGTCATCCCTGCTGGTCTCCTTTCTTTTGTATAGTAAGATGTTTCTTTTGTTAAATGAAGAAGCTGGACTGGGCAATATCTAAAGGCCTCTCCCAACTTCATAGTTCTCTCTACGTTGGCATGTTTGGGGGCTGGTGAGGGGGTTGTGCTGGTGCTGGAGGGAGGAGGGTTTGTGTTGGCGCAGCTGATGGAGAATGAGGATAGGTGTGGAGTGGAAGCTTTGAATTCCAGAAGGTGGAGTTGACTCACAGCGGGTGGGGATCTGGAGCAGTAGAGAGTGAGCCGGTTTACTGATTGAGGAATATTTTAGTGTCAAAACATCACCTGTGTAATTTCCCTACCAGAAGTGTTTAACTTGAGTGCTATCATGAGAAAATATGCAGACATATCCAGAAAGGTCATTTTGTGAAACAGCTGCCCTGGGATTTTAAAAAATGTTAATACCACAAAAGAAAAAAAGTTGGAGGACACTTAAATTAGAAGAGATTGAAAGAACTGTGACACCTAAAGGCAGTGTATGGTCTGTGACTGGATTCTGCATAATTAAAAAAAATTGAGAGCATTAAAAGGACATTTAGGGAAACATGGACTACATTAGATAATGTTAATACATCAAGGTTAAGTTTGATTAATTGTATTATAGTCATGTAAGAGAATGCCATTGTTCTTAGGAAGAACGTGCAGAGGTATTTAGAGTGTCATAATAATCACTCCTCGGAAGGAAGGTTGGGCAATCCTACTTCCGTAGTGATACTGCCTCGGAAACCCAAGGAGGGGTCACTATGAGTCGGGGGCGACTCGACGGCAAACGACAACAACAACAACAATAATCAAAACAAAAAACTCTTTGCTATTTAGTCGATTCTGACTCATAGTGACCCTATGGGACAGAGTACGACTGCCTCATAGGGTTTCCTAGGCTGAAATCTTTATGGGAACAGTCAGTCACACCTTTCATCTGCAGAGCAACTGTTGGGTTCTAACCACTGACCTTTTAGTTAATAGTCAAGTGTTTTTAAGCACTGCACCACCAGGGCTCCATATATCATAATGCCTGCGATTAATTCTCAGGTGGTTGGTGGGGGGGGGGTGGGCAAGAGGAAATGTGAGAAAATGTTAACACTTGGTGAACCTTGCAATATTTAAAATATAAAATTAGTTTTTAAAATAATACTACAGAATAATGAATTTGATGGTGATGTATAGGATGAATTGATGAAGAAAAGGTTGGAGACAAGGAAAGACCCTTTTGACCATTGTAGGATGGTATTGGTGGCAATGTAGTAAAAGGTACCCAGGTCAAGAAGAATGAACAATTGTTAGGACCTGCTAAAACAGGACTAAAAGAAAAAAATGTCAACAGAGAGATTTTTGTCCTGGTTGAGTGGAGATCCACAATCAGAAATAGTTGAAGGAAAAATGTCTGGAAGGCCACTGGGAAAATAAGAATTCCAACTGTGCCTGTGAGAGTAGCTCAGCTAGTAGTAACATCCTGTAAGTAGTTGGAAGACTGCTGTCCAGGGAGTACAGGTTGGAGACTTGTTGGCTGTTTGGCCGTCTCGTGATTTGTCGGTTTTATTTGGCCCTTTCCTCTCTTTCTCTCACATTCCAGCTGGGAGGTTCTAATCAGAGTGTAGTACAGTGTGGCTCATACCAAACAAGTGTCCGCTGAAGTTTTGTGAATTTGTGATGAGAATTTTAAATGTTTGTCTTCCACATTAGTGATAATCTTAGAAAGAAATACAGCCACGTTTTGGGTTATGTGCGTGACCACTGTATTACCATTTGCTGCCAAGTGATTTCAGTGGGTGCATTTGTCTTATAGCTACACTAGGGACCAATGAGAAATACTTAATGCTTACATGATATGAGTGGTGGTGCCAAGTGAATGTTGTTTAGTGCCCTAACCGAGTTGACAAAGGACATTTTCTCTTTTAATTGTGATTTGGGTGAAGATTTACAGAGCAAATTCACTTTCCATATAGCAGTTCACATATACTTTGCCTCATCGAAGAACATTTTCTTAATAGCTTGAGTAGAGAGACGGTGTGAGAATTCACACCACACAGCACAGAGAGTACAGGCATGCTGAACTCTCAAGGACCTGGGCCATAGCAATCAGAACAAAGTAATGACCAAAACGTCAGTTTACTTGCAGTGGAACATCGTAGTTATCTGTCCTATTATTTAGAGTTCTGTTGGTTTTATAGTTTTAAAACGTGTATTTCTTTTTGGCCTTATGGTTGCATAAGAGCAGTTCTCATATCTTGTTTCATGTTTGTGCATATTTAAATTAATTGTAATAAAAAGGCATTTATGTCAGCACTGGGTGTCTGTGAGGACCACCTCCTACACCGACACACACAGTGGACTGTGTACATTAGTCAAATTTGGTCCAAGAGATCTATAATAGATAGGCCAATAAGAAAGACCCTCAGTGATTAAGTGAGTCTATAACCGAAAAGGGGAGCTCTGGTAGCGTAGTGCCTAAGGCACATGACTGCTAACCAGAAGTCTGGCGGTTCAAACCCACCAGCCACTCCTCGGAAGGAAGATGGGGCAACCTACTTCCGTAGTGATACTGCCTCGGAAACCCAAGAAGGGGTCACTATGGGTTGGGTCCGACTTGAGGGCACATAACAACAACAGCATAACCAAAAAGCTCTGGATGGACTATTCCTGGTGGTCTTCAAGCATAAACGATCCAAACTCTTGTTAGAGTATCTTCAGAAACCGTAGATCTGATAAGAATCTAATAACCAAAAAATACATACAACTTCTGCAGCGAAACAGCAAAAAGACATAGAGTGGATGAAGGGCATGAATAGACATTTCACCTAAGAGGACAGTCACATGGCCACCAAACCCATGTAAAGAAAGATGGTCAGTATCATTCGCCATCAGAGAGATGCAAATCAGAATCACAATGAGATACATGTCATGCCCATGGATGGCTAAGATGGAAAAAAGAAAAAAAAAGAAAGAGAAAAGAAACCCAGAAAATAACAAATGTAGGTAAGGATGTAGGGAACTGGAATCCTTTTCCATGGCTGCTGAGAATGCAAAATAGTGCAGCCATTGTGGAAAACAGTGTGGTGGTTTCCCAGAAAACCTAAAACATAGAACTGCCATATGACATAGCAATTCCACTTCTAGGTATATGCCCCAAAGACTTGAAGGCAGAGACTCAAACAGATACTTGTATACCAGTTCATTGCAGCACTATTCACAGTAGCCAACAGGAAACAACCTAAAGGCCCATCCGTAAATGAATGGATAAACAAAATGTGATACAAGCACACAGTGGAATACTGCTCAGCCCCTGGGAGTCTTGATGTATGCTATAGCATGGACGGAGCTTGAAGACATCATGCTGAGTGAAATAAGTCAATTACAAAGGAACAAATACTGTTTGATCTCACTTATATAAAAAGACAAGAACAGGCAAATATATTGAGACCAAAGTTTCTTAGAAAAGTGGTTACCAGGGTTAGAAGGGAGGGGAGGTGTTGCTTCTCATGGAATACAGAGTTTGGATTTAATGGTGATGGAAAAATCACACTGATTAAGGGTAGGGTTGCACAGCCAATTAATGTATTTGTTGTCAGTAAGTTGTACGCCTATAGAAAGTTGAATCGGCAAAAATTGTGTGATAAAGATCTTTATAACAGCGGCAAAAATAAATAAAAGAGTTGTTGCTGAGGCCACTTGTATATAACCAAAGACCTCATGGATTGAGGTTCCTTTGTTTGAAGGTCTTATTGTTGTTATTTGCTGTCGAGTCGCACCCGACTCATAGCGACCCCTCCTTGCGTTTCCGAGGCGGTATCACTATGGAAGTTGATTGCCCAACCTTCCTTCTGTTTGGAGGTTTAGGGTCATTGTTTCATAGGACATTCCAGTTAGTTGGCCTGATAACGTGTTTAGTGTTTCTGTTTTGCCTCCTAGTTGGTTGCATAGTGCCTGGGGTCTTAGGGCTCTCAGCTGACCATCCAAAGCACAACAATTGGTCTCTATTCACCTTGAGCAACAGAGGAAGCAGGAGAGTCAGGAACAGGAAGACGTGGAATGTGTAGCTAACTGCCTCCATGAACCACTGCCTCCTTTGCCATGAGACCAGAAGAACTAGATGGTGCCCGGCTACCGTTCCTAAACATTCTGATTAAAGATTCCATAGAAGAATCCTGATCAAAATGGAAAAACTGCAGAAAAGAATTTCAAATGCTCATGGACTCTAGCCTTACCGGAGCCATAGAGGGTAGAGGAACCCCTGAAACTTTTGCCCTGAGATAATCTTTAAACCTTAAACCACAAATATTCCCTGAAGTCATCTTCAAACTGAATAGTAGTTTAGCTGAACTAGTGACAAAGATCTGCCTGGAGCATCATGCTCTTCTAAGAGCTATGTGTGTGGGGTCAGATGTTTAGGACCTCTCAAAGAGTAGAGAGGAACCGGAGGGGGCAGTGAGTTTATGTGAATGGGGGAGGAACCACTCAGGAACGAGGATGAGAGTGGCTACCCAGCTGGAAGAATGTCATCAGGGTCGCTGAATTGTCCATGCAGAAACTTGGCTCGGTGTATGTTTGTGCTGTGTATGTTTTCAACAACAGCAAAAAACAGAGATCAATTTAAAAAGAGAGTAAACGACCCATCTTGACTTGGAGCTGTGTCAGGGAAAAGGTGGGTTTGAGGTAGGTGCAGGCCAGTGTGCAAGGGTGCTTAACGGCAGTGAATTGCTCGTCTTCAAGTCCATTTTGTTCCCTACCTCCCCCGCCCCAAATCCTGCACTGTCTTCTCAGCCCTCTCCCTACTGATTATGAATGTCTATTAAATACTATGTGAAAGCCTTTGATAGATTTGAAGATAACTGGCTGTGTGGGGCCAACATTAGGCTGGAAATGGCCAATTGTTCGGGCGAGTTGTAAGTTGTGCCTACTTTCTCAGTGTGTTCACGTTTGCATTGAGGAGGACTTTGGGTTTGTAACTCACCACCAGACCACTTGTCGGCTATCAGATTTCCTTGTACAAACTAGGAGAGTGCATCTTTTTAATTTATTTTTTATTATGTTTTTAAATATCATTGTGCATTTGGTGAAAGCCTGCACAGTGAGTTAGGTTCCCATCTGATAATTAAGTAGTCAGCGGCAGAGACCGCATCTTTCCAGGGGGTGCTCCTGTTTGGCCCTCGTGCTAACCCACGTCCGTCTTTCCCACTGCAGGTTTTCAAGAACCCGCGCGAGGTGGTGACAGTGCTGCTGATTCAGACCCTGGGGGCCTTGGTACCCTCCCTGCCCATGTGCCTCAGCTCTGCCTTGGAGAGGGCGGGGCCCGAGATGGAGCTCACCAAGCTGCTGGAGTTCTATGACATCACCGCCCACTTTGCCAAGGGCTTGGAGATGGCGCTGCTCCCCCACCTCCGTAAATACTCCTTCCTCCCAGCTCTCTCTGGCTTGTCTTTACTCGCTCTCTGTGGCTTCCAGGGCCTGGGTTTGTTTGCCTTTTCGGGTGACTGATGTTACAGAAATGCCGTGGATCAGTGTTTTCTACCTCAACAGGTAGCCAAGCCTTGTCCCTGAGAACAGTGCCCTCTATTGGAAGTAGTTGTTTAATATGTTTACCTAGGGCCAGTGTGGCCTTGGCGCTTTGTACGCTTGGGGAAGCGATGGGCACTTCTGCAGAGGCTTGGAATGTGAACACGCTTAACAGTGAGGCAGGTAGACATTAGTGGTGACCCACTGGGAGCAGGTGACAGTGGGAGTCTTCTTTCAAGTCATCAAAAAGGCTCAGACAATTCACCTAAGAAGTAAATGTAAGAGAACAAGTCAGTGAGAAGAGCTTTTTGAAGGGGTATGGTAGTTAAATTGTGTGTCAACTTGGAAGGGCCTGGCGTTGAGTGGCTGGGCAGCTGGATGTGGTTATTCCCCAGGATGAGACTGGTGGTCATTGTGGAATCTACTGGAGCAGCTGAGGAGCTGCCTTAGGGCTGTGGTCTGCTTCCAGTTTCTAAGGAAAAGCTTTGGGGGAGTGGAATCTAGCTTATGGCACACTTGGGACTGCCTCTGGACTTGAACTAGTGTCCTACCATGTTGTTTGGTAGTCTTGGGACTATGCCATTTTATTTGTTGACTTTGGGTTTGTCAGCCTCAGCAGCCAGCAGCTGCCTGAGTTAAGAGAAGCCTCCAGTTTCAGTGGGCTGGGAGCAAGAGGCAGAGCTGACATCCAAGGTTGAGGGGCTTTCACCCAGCCCCTAGAGCTGGCACTTTTGAACTTGGACTTCTGGCCTCCTAAACTGTAAGAGAATAAACTGCTGTTTGTTAAAGCCACCTATTTGTGGTATTTCTGTCACAGTGGCACTAGAAGCCTAAAACAGGGGCAACAGCAGGTTTCTCAGGGCAAGGTAGGAGAGAAGGACGAAAGGCTTAAAAAAAAAGGGGCTTTCCCCAGTGTGTCCCAGCACAGATCACTCCTTACTGTCACGTGAGTGACCAATGCGTGGTGTGTTCCGTTTCCCTAGTTGTTTCCCCATCGATGCTGAAAAAGCATCATGCGTTTTAAAATAACACAGACCTTGTGATGCGTGCTGCTGTCACATCAGGAAATCACTTCAGGAAGGCCTTGTCTGCCGTTTGGCTGGTGTGTGTCACCAACCTGGTCTATTTAATAGTTACTCTCGTTAATTACACTTGAGTGTAATTGCCTGTACATTCCAGAGAGTGTGTTTATTGTTCGGGTTCCTGATGATTCATACGGTACTTTGGCACACTCACTTGTCAGGCCCTGTGAGAGAGGCAGGGTGGCTGTGGCAAGCTTCCAGGGGCCAGGGTACCATTGTCACAGTGGTCCCGAGGTGTTGAAGCCATGCATCCTGCTGGAGTGGAGTGGAATGGAATAAAGGCGGGGCAAGGAACAGCATGCCTTCCTCCAACTGCTGATGGACACTGTTGATGAGAGAGCCATCCTGTCAGGAAGCAGAGGGAGAAGGCCTTTGTCAGTTAGCAACAAGGGGTGTAGATTTTTAAGAATTCCTCTTGAGGTTTTCAAGGTTTTTTTTTTTTTTCCATTTGAAAAATACACACAAAGTACATACAAAAGTAAAAATTAAAGAGAGTTAAAATGGTTGGTAACATCATCACTCAGAGAGACCCACTGTCAACATTTTGTTGTATTCTCTCCCAGTGCAGTAGTCCCTCGGGATCCTTGGGGATTGGATCCAGGATGACACCCCCACCCCCAGTGGATTCCAAAATTAGGGAATACTCAAGTCTCTTATGTAAAATGGCATAGTATTTGTATATCTACTACTTCTCTATTAGTTTGCATATAACCTACACTAATCCTCTCATAAACTTTAAGTCATCTTTAAGATTTCTTGTAATACCTACCAAAAACCAAAACCAAACTTACTGCCGTTGAGTTGGATCTGAGTCATAGTGACCCCTCCTTGGGTTTCCAAGATGGTATTTCTGCCCAAGTAGATTGCCCATTCTTCCTTTCAAGGAGTGACTGGTGAGTTTGAACTGCCAGCCTTCTGGTTAGCAGTCAAATGCCTTAGACACTAGGACACCAGAGCTCCCCCTGTAATACCTAATACAATGTAAATGTTGTGAAAATAGGGCTTTACCTCCCTGTTAGCCTTTGAGGGATGGCTTTGACCCTTAATTGCTTTTTAGGCACCTCCCCCATGTTTTTGATACAATCTGTGTTGATTGAATTCACATATGCAGAGCCCTCAGATAAGGAGAGCCAAATGTGTCTCACACAGAAACACAGCTTTGAACCAGTTCGCTCCTGTCCCACACCCTTCTGAGAATATGCATTTCCATGCCAGATCCAGGCATACCTTGGAGATATTGCGGGCTCAGTTCCAGACCACCGCAATAAAATGAGTCACAGGAATTTTTTTTCCCAGGGCATAAGAAGTTATGTTTATACACTGAATTGTAGTCTTTAGTAGACTACATTTGCCTGCTAAACAGTAGGTTGGCAATTCAAACCCACCAGCCACTTTGTGGAAAGAAGATGGGACAATCTTCTGTAAAGACTCAGTGGCAGTGGGTTTGGTTTTTGTTTTTTGATAGGATACTAAATGTGCGGTAGCAAGATGAAAACGCTGGAAATGTCGCGGGAGTGACCAAAATGTGCCACACAGACACGGAGTGAGTGCCTGCTGCTGGAAGATCGCACCGATAGACTTGACTAAGGCCGAGTTGCACAGACCTTCAGTTTGTAAAAAAATAAAATACAGTTATCTGCAAAGTACAGTAAAGCAAAGCCAATAAAATGAGCTATGCCTGTGTACTGAATCGGAATGGGAATCTTGTTAAAACGTAGATTCTGATTCAGTATATCTGGAGTGAAACCGGCATGAACCAGTTCAAAACCTTGAATATTAACACATTTTTCACAAATATATATATATATGTGGGTGCTCGGGTGGTGTGGTGCCTAAGGCACTTGACTGCTAACCAGGAGGCTGGCAGTTCAAACCCACCAGCCATTCCTCGGAAGGTTGGGCAATCTACTTCTGTAGTGATACCACCTCGGAAACCCAAGGGAGGGGTAGCTATGAGTCTCCCCATCATGCAACAGCTCTCTTCCCACTTCCTGTGGTTACCTTTTCCCTGTGTCCCTTCCTGTGCGCCCAGGAATGAGTTCAATTCCAGGCCTGAAAGGTGACTCGGGGCCATAGTCTCAGGGGTTTTCAGTAGTCTCTATCGTACCAGTAAGCCTGGTCCTTTTTATGGTTTTGCGTTTTGTTCCACATTTTTCTCCCACTCTATCTAGGATCTCCTACATTGATCCCTTTCCAAGTGGTTGACAGTGGTAGCTGCCCCAGCTGATTCTTCTTTAGATAAATTTTAAAATTGAAAATACTAAGAAATTAAAATCCCAGATATTTTAGTCATATCTTGCCCTTTCGAAAGTTTCTACTAGTTCTTGTGTCTGTCAGTAACATATGTGGTTAGGTTCAACTCATAGCATTTCCCTTGCCCTCACCAGTACTAGGCTCTATCTTTTTTCTCCCATATTTTCCAGGTTCTTAGGCAATTAATGAGACATCGTTTTAATTTATTTCTTTGATTACTAGCAAGTTTGAACATTATATTATAAAAATAGTATTTTTTTTTTCTCTTTTGAATTATTTATTATCTTGCCTACTTTTCTGTTTGGGAATTTACCTGTTTCTGGTTGGTATATAAATAATTTCTTCAAAATACATAAATATATTATATTATTCCATATAAAAGTGACAAACGTGCGTGTTGTAAAAATTTATGATACAGAGGTAGATAGCAGAATGAAAGTCTTTTATAATCCCACTTGTTAGACATAACCAATTAAAAATTTTTGATGTATGTTTTCAAAAGACCCTTATATAGTCAGGACTTTTTCCCTATTGTTTATCAAGTGGTACAGATATATTTTCCAGGTTTTATTTTGCCTTTAAAATTTCCTGTTATTTTTATAATTGGTACATGCCCTTGGTACCATTTAAAAGATAAAGAAGATTATGTAATGGAGAGTAGAATTTTAAAGCAGTTTAAATTGATGTTACAATTAATAAGCAATAAACATTCATTTTAGAAAAATCTAGAGATACAAGGAAGGAGACAAATCATCTTCAACTTGCTGTCCAGTGATAACGCTTTAAATTATACACACATCCAGATTGTGTGTGTGTGGATGCACTTAAATATACTTTTAATATATTTTAATAGAATATTACCATTATCACACCCAAGAAATTTATTATCAATTCAATGTTATCATCTAATAGACAATCCATATCCAAATTTTCCCAGTTGTTTCACAGATATTTCTAATAGCTGCTGCTTCACCTCTCCTCCTATTAAAACCCTATCAATGTAAATATATTACATTTGGTTGTTAGGGCTCTTTAATCGCTTTCAATCTAAAGAATCATCTCATCTTACTCTTGTCTTTCATGCCATTGACAGTTGTGAAGAATGCTGGGTAGTTTTATTGGAGAATGTCGCACATTCTCAAAGTGTCTGAGGATTTCCTTGTGATTGGCTTGCACCATACAGTTTCGGCAGGAACACCACAGTGGTGATGATGTATACTTCCTGTTGCATCACATTAGACACATAATCTCCAATTATTGGTGATGAGTTAGATTAATCATTTGGTTAATGTTGTGTCTGCTAGATCTTTTTGTCGTTAAGTTGTCCTTGTTACTAATAAGTAACTTTGAGCCCATAAAAATATATTATTGCCCAAGAAACATAGACTTAGTGATTTTTAAATCTGTTGATAATCTTTGCCAGAATACATTTTTACATTGTTGACTATAATGTGATAATTTTCTGATTCTGTCATTTCTTCTACATTTGTTAACTGGCATTCTTTTGAAAAAGATAGGTTTTCCTTTATGTACATATAATATCAGTGTGAAC